AAAATATGAATTTGTTGAATTTCGAGTATTAAATAAGCCCAATTTATATTGTTTACAGCATAAGCGATGTTTAGTATGCTTCTAACAACAATAGCGTCCATAGCAACGTTACACGCGAGCGTTATGATGCCTAAAATTCGATCTGAAAATAGGGGAGAAATAGGGGAAGATTAAGGGAACCCTATGTAAACACGACTAATGTTGTCAGCGAGCGCCGCGAGGTTAAAAACCTAGGAGTGTACATGGATAGATATCTTACGTTTAGCGACCATATCGACCACGTTGTGAGGAAATGTACCGGCACTTTGATTGCACTTGTCCACCTGAGCCACGGCATTCCCGTCTCACTGATGAAACAAATTGTTGTCGCATTAGTTCTGTCAATGATCAGGTACTGCATATCGATTTATGGTACGTGCGGAGCCACACAACTCCACCGCATACAAAAACTGATCAATTTTTGTGCCAGAGTCATTAGCCGCAAAAGCAAATATGATCACATTAGTCAAGAGGTACGTCGTCTCGGACTAATGACCGCACAGCAACTTGTCACGTATCACCAGATGTGTCTGATACGCCGCATACTTGTCACTGGTGAACCTCGCGAACTGAGTCCGTTTTCTGCTACCGATCCTGAGCATCGAACTAGGTATGCTCATATGGCTGGTGACTGTGAGGGCCAGAACATGTGCGGGAGAGAGGAGGATTTTCAACGGAGGAGTTAGGAAGTACAATGACCTACCAAACGAGGTGCGAGATGCTGTGTCAATGGGCGGTTTTAAGCGAGCATTGGAACGAGTGCTGCTCGATATGTGATCTTCTAGCATATGTGGTTTTTAGCATAGCATAACCCCGTTTTTTTTTTTACTGTTTCTTACCTTTACCATTGAACTGACGTGTCATGTGAAAAGCCTCGAATGTATGTAGGAATATGATAAATACACTGAATCTGAATCTGAATCTGTCAGTGGTGGTTGACACTACTATGGTTAGCCGGCAGGACGCCTACTGGTTGACCTGACCTGACCTGACCCGACCTGGCCTAAATGCACGAAGACATCTGTGATCCAAACTAACATGAAATTCGTGATCAGTGCCCCGAAAAAGACCCATAAGCAGCTCACTTTACGAAGTTCCAACAGGTCCCGGTTTTCCCGACTTTTGGGGTCATTTACCTGCCCTGGAGGGTCAACCAATGTACTAGGACCTTAAAATTGGGTACATTCGGTTTCCTCTCGTCACGGGCAGCACACTCGTTTTTCCGCGAAGCTCTAGCTCCATCAGGGGCCGAACGGTAATGGGGGGGGGGGTCCAACGGACCCCTCCCCCTATACGTTTAACGATGGGAAAACACCAATACGGGCGAGGGTTAAAAGATAAGGACGTTAATTTCTTTTGGGGTGAAGTGTTTCACTCTACGTGTAAGATATTTTGCTCTATTTCTCTAATACTTGGGTAGGTACAGTTCTTCAATTACAATTTAAAGTACTTGGGCACTTTAATTTGGAGAGTTCTCCCCCTATAAATTATAGTTGATAGAAGTGTGAAGAAAATTCCATGCAACGTGGTCTTCCTCGACTGAAACCGTTAAAAAAGCCTTACTATTAACATTGAGCCTTACTACAGTTTCGTTCACACCTTTTCCCTAAGCTCTAAATTGGGTACTTCTTTGTTAGGGTGTTCTTCATCATAACCATAATGATACGTTACTAAGCCATATCAAAATCAGTCCAGAGGTATTCTGATACCTCAGGAAAGGTCGAATCGACCCCACCTTTTTTAACGACGCTAGTTAACGTCCTCCAGAAACCTCAATAGTGAATGCGCAATCGGTCAAATTAGACAAGGGAGAAAGAAGTAAGATTTTTTTTTTATAATCGTATTTACATGTGCTGAACGTGTAAGATCGTTTAAGAACAGGTTGGTTTCATAAGGACATTATCCTACTTTGAATAATTGTATTAGCTTTAACGTATTTTCCAGCCCAAATAATTGCGGGTCCACGTCAAAACAGCTAGTGACTATTGAGCTAGTGACTTTTGAGCTAGTACAAAAGAGCTAGTGCTTCAAAACAGCTAGTGACAAAACAGCTAGCGCCAAAATAGCTAGTAATGCAAAACAGCTAGTACCTCAAATCGGCTAGAGACAAAACAGCTAGCGTCAATATAGCTAGTAGAGCAAAATAGCTAGTGCTTCATTATAGCTAGTGACAAAATCGCTAGCGTCGAAATAACTAATGAAGCTGTAGCTTATTCGTACGAAGTACGGGCAGCTATTATAGATTCTTTCCCGACGAGCCCTTTGTGAAGATTTCGCTCGTTTTCTTAATTTTTGCGCGTGTTTTTGTTGCCTTCAAGTTAAATTTCCGTGTTTATTTTTCCGTTCAGTTATTATAGGGCCTGTTCCAGCGCCTCCAGTAGAAATTCTTGACTGGAGGCTCTACCAGAGGTTTCACTGGAGGCGCTGGAACGCAATCTGGAGATTTCTGGAGATTGGCGTATAGATACCAAAAGAATGACGATTGTTCTCTCTTGAAACGCAAAATTTGTTTTCAATTTTAGTAAAAAAGATAAACAAAATTATAGAAATGTAATTTTCTTTACATTGAAGTTGTAAAAATCTCAGTCAAAAGTTCTTCGTTTACATTAGTGATTGTCACATGTGCGCCATAATTGTAGACCAGAGGCTCCAGAGAAATTTGGGCCTCCCAACTCTCTGGAGGCTACTGGAGGTTTCTGGAGCTTTGGCGAGAGCTTTCTGGAGCTTTCTGGAGGCGCTGGAACGCTCTCTGGAGGATTCTAAGAGCTTTCTGGAGCTTTCTGGAGGTTTCTGGAGGCGCTGGAACAGGCCCATAGTCGTTTTTTGGAGTGAGTTGATATTTCCAAATTTTCAATTCTTTCAAAATTGCCAGTTTTTCATTACCCAAAAGTTAAATTTGTTGCAATGGAAATAATAAAATCAAACAGGGGAGCAGACAAGATTATTTACAATGGATACATTTACCGCAAAAACACAACAAATGTTACAACACAGAGCTGGCGCTGCGAAATAGCAAGATGCAAGGGCTCTGCTTCCACACCTGTTACTTACATTAATGGTGGCGAAATTATCGAGAAACAACCACATAATCATCCTCTCGATTCAGTGCGTACCGAAATTGCCTCCTCACTACATCAAGCTTTAAATTCCGCAAGTACATCTCAGTTACCTCCCCGACGCATCATAAGTGACATCAACATTAGTGTGGAGGCACAAGCCATAGCACCGAAACGAAAGAACATTACATTAAGGCTGCAAAGAAAAAGAAGAAGGCTGGAAGGATATGCCCCGGAGCCGTCGACGAGGGCAGAAATTCAAATTCCCGAAAAATTTAAATTTGTTAAGCAAGGGGAAGAAGACGTACGCTTTTTATTATACGACAACGCCGAAAACGAAGACGATTACAACGAACGACCGAACGACCGAATCATAGTTTTTGCGACCGACCAAATGCTGGACGAACTGGCGGCGAACGATACATGGATGCTCGACGGAACTTTCAAAATTTCACCAGTACTTTTTAGTCAGTTATACACCATTCATGTGGTTGTAGGTGACTCAGGCCATGTTTTCCCTTGCGTTTATGCACTTCTTCCGGACAAAACTTTCGCAACATGCCGAAAATTCTTCGAAATTTTAAAGTCATTTAGAGATCTACAACCGCGTACGTGTATTATTGATTTCGAATTGTCGGCCAAAAGGGCCCTCCGCGATGCCTTCCCTGACGTCTCAGTAGAGGGATAATTTTTTCATTTGACTCAAGCTGTTTGGCGTAAGGTTCAGGCCTGCGGTCTTGTCCCGCAGTATCGGGACAAGGCTGCAGTCCGAGAAGCCATCAAATCACTGTGTGCGCTAGCATTCTTCGAAACGTCGCAAATTGTTGAAACTTTTGAGGAATTACAAGAGGAAGTGGAACGGCTGGGGGAAGAAGGATTACATCAATTTTACGATTACTTTGAAGATACATATATAGGAAGGCTGGGTAGAAGGAGCAGAAGAGCACCGTTGTTTGACAAAATTATTTGGAATGTTAGAAGGAGGACAGAGGAAGGGATCCCTGGAACAAACAACAAATTAGAAGCGTGGCACCGGGGAATACAAGGCATGTTTGACTCATCACACCCATCATTAATGAGATTTTTCACCGCCATCCAAAAAGAACAAAATCTTCAAGCATCTGATCTTGTGAAATTCAAAAGTGGCCAGGATGTTCAAAAACAAAAGAAAACATACAGAGACATGAATGCCAGATTGGTCACTCTACTGAGGCGCTGCAGGGAAGGCATTATTAGCAAAAAGGAATTCATTCGGGGAGTAGGCTTCAACATCACTTTGAATGTTTGAGATGGCATGACGCGGGAAATACATGAGTCATAGATATCTTGCATTTTCGAAGCGAAGTGATTGGGAAGGGAACAGAGGTCCAACGAAATAGCTATTTTGACGCTAGCTGTTTTGTCACTAGCTGTTTTTAAGCACTAGCTATTTTGCTTCACTAGTTTTTTTTGACGCTAGCGATTTTGTCACTAGCTATAATGAAGCACTAGCTATTTCGCTCTACTAGCTATATTGACGCTAGCTGTTTTGTCACTAGCTGTTTTGAGGCACTAGCTGTTTTGTATTAGCTCAAAAGTCACTAGCTCAAATGTCACTAGCTATTCTGACGTGCACCCAATATTTGCAGATAACTGAAACCTGTAACATGTTACAGATGTCCTCGCGTGTATAACATGTCCGTTATACACGCGAGGTTTTCTGGAGAAAGTACAAAACATTTTGCAGGGGAAAAGGAAATAATGTGAGGGTACATAGCGACGAAAAATACGCAAATGTGTTAGAAACACTAAAAGACTTCAAAAATGGCGTCAAACCTGCTCAAAACAACAAAATTGGGTATATCTGAGTGAAGCGTTTTGTACTGGAGACATGCGGTGATGCAGAAAGAATTTTGAAGAGAAAGTCTGGAAATGAGGTGGTACAGATGTCCAGAATGTTCGACGTTATACACGACGTCCACATACAGCTGGGACACGCTGGACGAAACAAGATGCTCGCGGAGTGTCAGCGTCGTTACTATAATGTGCATCGAGTGGCTATCGAGATATACTTGCAAACGTGTAAAAGCTGCGAGCTCAAGAGAGCACTGCCAAGGGACAAGACGGTCACGCGGCCAATTCTGACTGATGACGTTTCAAGACGAGCGCAGATAGACCTCATAGACTGGACTAGTGAACGATCAGCTGGATTTGGGTACATCTTAAACTTCCAAGATCACTTGTCAAATTTTGTGATTTTACGCCCACTGAAGAAGAAGACGGCTCAAGAGGTTGCATACCATCTCCTGGACATTTTTTGTCTGATCGGTGCACCGAACATTATACAAGTGAGCTGTTGTAGGGTTAAATTGGCAGAATAGTTCAGTTAAGATTATTAGTTTACCATAACAATTTCGTAATTAGTTGTCATAACGTAACTGTTTATTGCCCATTGCTATCAACTGTTGTAACTATTATGTCAGGTCTGTGAAACAACTTTGTATCGCATACTTCTTTCCCGGAACGTTTCAATTGTTTCCGGATTTGTTTCAGTCTGATAACGGTGCAGAGTTCCGGAACGCCTTGCTGGACGACCTGAAGCTGATGTGGCCACAGCTGATGCTGGTGCATGGAAGACCGAGACACTCACAGTCACAGGTTGGTCAGCCAACACGCCATTCTTTCTGTCGATGAACTATAAATGGGATGGATTCCTTTCTTCAACAGATATTTCCCCTTTTTGACGTAGTGCATAGAACTTGTCTTGGGTGTAAAAAGCACTCAAGCAATTCATTTCTACTTGTAATTCAGTTAAAGGGATACGTTCAATATTAATTACGATTATTATTGTTACACATTTACTAGTCGTTAGCATTTGCATTTTACACCCGTATATGTCGTAAAGTATCCACGGACTGTTTGTTCATTACACAGCTGCATGTACAGTCACCAGCAGTTGCTACCCATCACCCCCGGACGGCGGGGGAGCAAGCTACCACCGCCCCTGCGAGACTAGCGCCGCCATGCGCCAAGAAGTGGAAACACCACGTGACTGAGGCCACGTGAGGGCAGGGTCACGTGATGGAGGGGCGGAGCATAGTAGCTTTTGCACCCGACACTAACTGAAATGCGGCGCTGTGATTGGGCGCCTTAGCATGAATGAAGCCCCGGCGCCAGAATCAGCCGTTCGCCTTATATGGAAAGTGAGCCTTTGCGTTTCACTGTTCTGTATTGGTTTGAGAGCCACGGCACCATACGAATTGTGAGCCCCTTTGAACGGGTCACCGCCCAAGGCACTGAGGCGACGGCTGTGCCGGGCAAAGTCTAGCCTGGTGGGAGAGGTGGGCCAGAGAAAAGTGCGATCGAGCAGCCACTGGAACGTGGATTGGTATTATCCAACCGCGACAAACGATGTCAGCAGCCTCTTCTCGTGTCATAGACACTAGACAGTGTCTATGACACGAAAAGCTAGACAGACAACGTGGGCAGTGCCCAATCAAAAGCTACTGAACGATCCAGTTAAGAAGTTGGCGAGGTAGCCAGACCAAATAAAAAGTTTGTAATTCGATTTTGGTTGACAAATGACATACAAGCCCGCTGTGATGGACCACAAAAGGAGCTGAACAGTTCATACAACTTCTAAAAGCTCAATGGTTTAAAAATGCAAAAGTTAAATGTTAAAATTCAGCCTGCATGTTTAAACTCTGGTCCGGCGCTGGCAGGAAGCTTATAAGCTTATATTGCCACTTGCAATTCCACTACCTTGTAATATAACCAATAGTTCTGTGAGAGCAGCAGCTGAAAGCCCCGTTGAGGGGAGAGGGCGGCGCGAAACGGTCCCTTCTCTCCTTTTCAGTCGATATCTCCTAAAGTATAGCAAATGTCGCCACCAAACTTTCAAGACCCCTCCGGGCATCATTTTTACACCTTGTTACCAAATTTTTCCAGAGCTCTTATGAAAGGTTAGTCACAAATGACGTCAGAGGGATGTCATGTTCTGTCATTTTCGACCCAATAAAAGGTTTAGCGGGAAGAGCTGTCACGCTTACAGTTTTGAAGATAACGAAAAATATTCAAGATAAAAAAGATATAAAATAAACAGCGCTACCAAACTGCTAACTCTTATTTCCAAACAAAAATTGATTTTGACCATCAAAACTATAGAATTAAACTTCCCGAAAATACCAACAACTTTCAAAATTAAAACTGAAATATATGTTATAGAACTATCTGCTCTAGATATGCCAAACTTAAACTCGTTAGCTCCATTTTTAGCAAAGTTATGGCCAAAAAAAAAAACTACTCAAAATTTATTACGTATTTTTTTTTTCAAATTCAATTTTTAGCCGTCAGAGAACACACAGAGCAAGCCAAAGACCACCATTGGATTTCCTGTGATGAGCTGCATCGAATAGATACCCCTTTTATGCAAAATATCAACTTTCAAATTTGACCTTCTTTGACCTGACCTTGACCTTACCTCCACCAGAATGTAAACAAAACTGGCCCCAATGGCCGTCTAGCCCACACCATTGAATTCTAAATGTAAAATTGGCCATAAAACATGCATCACACGACCCTAGCATAGTTGGGTTCATATTGTAACCCTTAGTGACCTGACCTCTGTGAACTGACCTGGCATCAATGACCTCTTTAGGCAACATATGTATTAGACAACCAGCGCTCCATCGATGTTTTTCGATTACATGCCTTTTATTTGATGTGTTAACTGACTGTAACGCATTCCTTAGACTAAATCGGTGAAAAAAAATGCGACCTTTGACCTAACTTGTGACGTCATGGGTTGCACCTAGGTCAACAAAACCTGGTAACAAGGTAGTTCCCTGGTGGGGCTTTAGAACGCTCTTTGAATGTTCAAAATCGGTCGGTAACTTTCCGAGATCTCAGGTGGAAGGCGAAACGGCTGCACCACCCGATCAGGTGGTAGGGTCCGCCAATAGCCCAAGGGGGCGCGGATTATTTATTCACTCATACAGTGTCATTTATTTTGAGAACACCTTTCTCACGCCATGACATGGTCCTCTCGTAATAGAACGAGACGAGGAGAGTGTTTTCACGCCTCCTTATGCACGGCTCTAAGACTGTCATTGAGCTATCAACTGTCAGCGGTTTTCGGACAATGAAGTTCTTAGTTCTTACTGAATCCAATTTTATTTCAAACGATTGTCACTGAGCTAGTTTTTTTTCTTATACGTTTTAGAAAAAGCGCTGAAGAAGTCTTTGATAGACGAAACCGGTCCGCTTATTCTTTTTCTAATTGTTTTTTTTTTTAATATATTCGTCGTAGACTACTGGCTCTTTACTACAAAATTTGAGAATGTTTGGTATTACTTTGACCCGAACGATGTGCAGCTGAATTTTCCCTGTTAAATGATTATGGACAGCTCGCGAAATTAACTTCAACCCAAACTACCGACAAGCAGAAGAAAATCCGATACAAGCCTACCTCAATCCTCTCACCTTATTCAACCGTTGAAACGTTAAAGGCATGTGTTCAGTCCGAGTTGCTATGTCGACCACCCGCGCCGTGCTGGGGGGGGGGGCGTTTTATGCCCTTCCCCCTCAGGTTTTTCGCGAATATCTCAAAAAACTGCGACGGTCAGGTCACCGTAACGTCAAGTGACCTTACCTCAGAAAAAAAAAAAATCGAAAGCTCGCTGTAGCTACACCGACTGAGCGGACTTTAAACTCTCAGTAATTGCTTAGGGTAATAATAGTGTGTATAAAATGGATACCTCCGATTTTTTATGTCTGTGACCTAAGGTCAGGTCAATTTTGCGACTGCTTCATTAGGTATAGAGATTGCAATCCCGGAACGTTTTGCCAATCCCGGGATCCCGAAAGTTTTTATTTCGGGATCCCGGGATCCCGGGATCCCGGTCTTGTCACTAAATGTCGTAAGAGTGATTTCCTACGGACATATTTTGCGTCTTTTAGCTTACCACAAAAAAGAGGCAACCAAAAGCCATCCTTAGACCATGTCATTTGCATTAAAAACGATTGAATTTGCAAAGAAAACGTTTCGATTTGATTAGCATAAGTATTTATTCCCAATTGGCCTTTATAAAACTGTGCGTCGACCAGTACGTTTACTAGACGGGTTCTAGCACATCCACGCCTCACTCACTCTTCGTCTGCGCTACTCGTAGTTAGCGCGACAGTTTTAAGCCATTGCTGGTCTGTCTGCCTACTTAAAAACTCGCAACCAGTGTACGCTAAATTTGGCAGCTCCCTATTTCACAATGTTTTCAAGACGTCGCTTGGTCACTTCACCTCCTTCCGGTTCCGCTTTCATCACTAATGTCTCTCAGAATTTGCTCTTGAAGTCGCTTTGAGAGCAGAGTCACTGACTGGGAGAGCTCCAAGTCCACTCTACTGTCTTCAACGTCTGAATCAGTGAGCTCTGCCGTCACTTGCGTGACATCTGTGACATTTTTCTGCGACACGAGCTCAAAGACTTGTCTTGATGACCTCTTTTGTTCCGGCCACGGACAGGCAAGTCAGAATCGCTGAACGATCTGTGATCCTGCCTAAAGATGTTGCAGCGCTGATACTGCAATTTTTTTGGCGTTCGGGATCCTTTTTCGTACGTGTTTAAGCGGCTTAACCGCTGTGGGTGATACCCGGGAGCTACAACACGGTCGATTGTGGACGACCAATACGGAATGCCAGCTAAATAGTTTATCTGCTTTATGTCACGCAGCACCATGCAGAGTGCAAACAAGACTCGTGCAGCGGCTGCATTCTGTTTATGGTGAAAAACTGTTTTTTTCGGGATCCCGGGATTGGCGGAATTTCGGGATCGGGATCGGGATTAAAATCCCGCCGAGATCCCGGGATCCCGATCCCGGGATTGCAATCTCTAATTAGGTATAAGTCAATGGGAGAAAATTGAAATGCGCCTCTTTTGGACGAATTTCGTTCTACACCCACTCAAACATCGGTCCATAGGTAAACATGACACACTGAATCGGAAAATCGCACCTGTGACCCCATGTGTGCCCCTGAGGTCATGTTAGGAAATAAAAGGTCTTCAGCAGTTTTTTGACTTTTGACAGAGACGTGATAGAGCGGTGAAAACACCGTTGATCTGAGGTCAAATTTGAGGTCAATCAGAGCGGTGCCCTCTGGGGGCTAAACCGTTGATCTGAGGTCAAATTTGAGGACATGTTGGCGAAAGAGCGTTAAAAGAGCTATCGAATGCGCTTTTCTGCGGCGCTGTAGCTCTATTGGTTCCCGAGTTAGCCATCGGGTGTTCAAAATCGTTGAAATCAACAAAATTTGACCTTTGATGAATCCTGGTGACCTGGCCTTTGCCCTGACCTTAAAATGCCCGAGTGTTTTCCTCCTTATTTTTGACGCTCTTTCGATTGCCGCTTACCGCGTGTCGCTACGTGGCCCAGGAGCCGAGTTAGACGGAGGGGCGTGAAACGCCCCCCCCCCCCCAGCACTCGACGGAAAGTTCATGCCACCAACACGGCGCGGGTTAATTGTTATGCTAGCCTAGCTCCTGTTGTAAGCTGTGGAGTCGTGGACCTGATCTTGAATGAACTGGGCCTAACATTTTCATAGCAAACGTAAAAAAAAAAATGTTTAAAGGGACCCTCCCACCTTCAAAAAAGTTAATGAATTGGCATGAAAGTGATGTCCCTTGGTTCAGAAAGAGCGAAAACGAATATCTACCAAATTTCACCGAAAAATATTCACTGGTTTTCAAGATATTAGGCTTTTACTTTTGTTTACTTTTTGGGATCTCCCCTGTTACTATAGCGACTTTATTTGGAAGCAATAATTTGGCAGCCTTAAAGTGCGGCAGACGTTGCGCGCAAAGCAGCGTATACCACCACGTGTTAACGATGGTTTTAGTCTAAGATTTAAAAATCGTTAGATCTCCGCTGACGTCACAAATTCTAAGGGGGCATTCCAATGCATTAGCCCCTTAGAATCCGAAAACTGCAAGTTTGAAATTCCATATCTTCGAATTAAAGCATTTTTCGACGTTGTGAGTGCCCAAACCGGTATTTGCAGGCCATGGCCACCAATTTGGCTATCGGGGCACCGTGCCCCCTTTGATTTTTGCATTTCAACATTAGCCCTATGAGCGTTGCATGGAAATAATAGGACCAAAAGTCGGCAGCGCCCCCCCCCCCCCCCGCCTAATTGAAGGTGTTCCGCCGCCACTGCATCCCGTCAACGTGGGTTCATCATAAGGATGCTAAGATTTAGGCAGCGTTCGATGTCTCCCGGACGGCAAAGATTCTTTGCCGTCCGGCCAATCCCGTCCAAGGTCAGCGGGGGCTCGGCTGCGGTTATGAAACGTGATTGGCCGGACGGCGTAGAATCTTCGCCGTCCGAGAGACATCGAACGCGGGGTTAATTTCCAATCTAAAGCTGTAATGATGAAAAGCAAATTTACGTTTTACATGTGAAACAAGCTGACACAACTAAATTTTTCCTCTGTCGCTCCCTCTCACTGATTTACCCATTGTCCTCTTTCTCATTTTACCCTCTCTGGTTTTCCTTTTCTGTCTCTCTTTTCTCTCCTCCCGTCCTTATCCCTTCCCTCCAGTCTTTTTTAGCCCCCCCTCTCTCTCTCTCTCTCTCTCTCTCTCTCTCTCTCTCTCTCTCTCTCTCTCTCTCTCTCTCTCTCTCTCTCTCTCTCTCTCTCTCTCTCTCTCTCTCTCTCTCTCTCTCTCTCTCTCTCTCTCTCTCTCTCGCCCTCTCTCTTGCTCTCTCTCTCTCTCTCTCTCTCTCTCTCTCTCTCTCTCTCTCTCTCTCTCTCTCTCTCTCTCTCCCTCTCCTCTCGCCCTCTCTCGCTCTCGCTCTCTCTCTCTCTCGATCTCCCTCTCTCCCTCTATCTCTCTCTTTCTCTCTCTCCTCTCTCTCCCTCTCCTCTCTCTCTCTCCCTCTCCCTCTCTCTTTCCTCACAATATTCTCGACTGTCACAGCGCTGTAGGGTAGGGTTGTTAAAAAAAACGAATTTTGGAAACGTATATGGGCTCATGGCTCATGTGGTGCGGTATTCTTTTCTGAGTCCAATGATACCCTTTTTTCCGAAAAGTATTACTGCTAGGCGCTGCTCAAACGGCTTAAAGAGGACCATGTTACGCCCGCCGACCGGCCGGTGTCAATAAGGGCGAGAATTCGACGCCGCACGGCGGCGGCAGCGCCTTATCGGCACCGCGCGCCACGACATCTGCCGGGCGGCCGGCTGGGCGGTGGGAAGTTATAAGTGCGTGGTCTTATTGCACACGATCGGGGTGAGCTATCCCATGTTTTCGGGGCGGAAAGTTTCAGTGCAGCATCGGTGCGTCTGCCACGGTGGTCTGTGTCGATGGTATAGAAAATAACTCAAGCAGAGCTCAGAAAAGAATGAATGATTCCGGGTAGTTGCCTCGAAATAATCCGTTTCAAGAATACAGCTGCCTTCTTTACGTACTGTATCACTTGTTAATTCTTCAAAAAGCAAGCTCTGAGCAATAACAGACTTCTTTGCATTGCTGTTGACAATTTAAGTTGCTTTTGGACGGTGGGTCGCAGCCCCAATATGCTGCCGCGTAACTCTATTCCAACGACGAAACGGCAACTTAGCGAGAATCGAAAATTTAACGAAGTAGGTACAACAGGAGCTGGCAAGGCTCCTGCATTGGTCTATCCGTCATGAGTGACACACCGGGGTAATGTGTCACGTCAGGGCAGAGCTGTGTTCTATGCCGGGTCTGGATTCGGGTCTTGATCGGCATCGGTGGGCACGGCCGCCCTGGCCGGACTGCCGGCGTCGCTTATGCTCGAAGGATTGGATAAACGGCGCTTGATTTATATGAGTAGGTACTCCGGCTAATGTCTCTACTCATGTCTCACTTCGTCACACTGTCAGGGTGGCCACTCTGTCATTCCCAGACATGTTATGTTCTCTTTCGACCCGCTTATCTAAGTTACACCTGGCGTCGATTCTGTTGCCCCAGCATCTGACATCAACGTATCTGAATAATGACATTGGTGACGCATATGCTCGTCAAAGCCACCCCCAAACTTGGGCCGATGACTGTCGGGTCTCCTCCATATTCTGTCCTTGTGCATACTGCATTGCCAGCCCCTGCTGTACGTATATCGTGAATTTTCGATTCTCGCGAAGTTGCCGTTTCGCCGTTGGAATAAAGTTGCGCGGCAGCATATTGGGGGTGCGAGCCACCGTCAAAAACTAACGTAAATTGTCAACAGCAACGCAAAGAGGTGTGTTATTGCTCAGAGTTTGCTTTTTGAAGAATTAACAAGTGATACGGTACGTAAAGAAGGCAGCTGTATTCTTGAAACGGGTTGTTTCGAGGCAACTACCCGGAATCATTCATTCTTTTCTGAGCTCTGCTTGAGTTATTTTCTATACCATCGACACAGACCACCGTGGCAGACGCACCGATGCTGCACTGAAACTTTCCGCCCCGAAAACATGGGATAGCTCACCCCGATCGTGTGCAATAAGACCACGCACTTATAACTTCCCACCGCCCAGCCGGCCGCCCGGCAGATGTCGTGGCGCGCGGTGCCGATAAGGCGCTGCCGCCGCCGTGCGGCGTCGAACTCTCGCCCTTATTGACACCGGTCGGTTGGCGGGCGTAACATGGTCCTCTTTAAGCCGTTTGAGGAGCCCCTAACAGTTAATACTTTTCAGTAAAAAGGGCATCATTGGTCTCAGAAAAGAATACCGCACCACATGAGCCATGAGCCCATATACTTTTCCAAAATTCGGTTTTTTTGAACAACCCTACTGTTTCCAGACAGGTCCAGGCGCTCTCCACTCCGCAGGCCCCAGCCCACACGGCCCAACCGCTCAAACACCCTCCGGCGGATGACCTCTGACCTCGGCGACCTGACCCCAGCCGACCGATCGCGTCCCCCTCCACGCCTCCGCCCCGCTTCCCCCACTACAGCTGCGTAGTAATTGTAGCGTGTGCAAAGGTCACGTGGCATTATTTACTTCTGCGGCTTGTTCGGCTGACAAGAGATGGCACTACTGGTCTGTGGATCAGAGGCGGGGCTAGGTTCTACGACTTCTTGGGGCACACTTTAGGGCAGAAAATAGGTTTTTGGCTCTCCATCCCAAAATGCTTCGAATATACAAAAACAAGTTGGATATTCGAAAATCGGAGGACCAAACAGATCGTTTGACGTATCTTGTGCGACTGAGAATTGATCGGTCTTCAAACTACTGAACAAAAACGAGGTGATTAGTAGCAAGTGCTGGTGACTGTACATTGCACGTATATTACATTTCCACGTTTTTCCTGCAGGGATCAGTGGAGCGCAGCAACAGAGTGGTGCAGGAGAAGCTGAGGTGCTGGCTGCCAGAAAACCCTGGCTGCAAATGGCCTGAGGGCCTCCGATTTGTTCAGTGGGCGATGAACACGCAGGTAAAACAACCTCATTGCTTAAAGCAGGGGTCGGCAAATGGTGGGGCATGCCCCCTTTGGGGGTAATGGAGCCCTTTCGGTGGGGGTAATGAGGGATTCTGAGAAAGCCTATCTTTTTAGAGTTTGTATAGCTCCAGTGATGGAGCCATCATGACTGTTGCATCCCAGGGTTCAAAGATTAGCCCAGGCCAAAGGCACAGCACACATTGATTAGCTACCAATTTTCACGTACCTGCTCGCCTCACCATCTCACCCCTCCGTACAGTCGTACAAAAGCAGCTGCAACTTTTAACCGTCGCCCGTCTGTTGGCGTTTCAACAGCCGCCAACGTAAGGGGGAGGAGTCGATCGGACCCCCGCGGCCTCTCGGACTCTGAGATGGAGCTGTGCATAAAAAAGACGAGCGTGCTACCCGTGACAATAGGAAGCCGCTGCTGCCCATTTTTAAGGTCCTTGGTCATTCCGTCTCATTCAAGGGGGCAATGACAAGTGTCGAGAAAATCGGGACCCGCTATAACTTTTTGAAGTGAGATTTTATGGCTCAAGATGATCTCCAGAAAAAGCTCATAAGCCAACGGTTATTATGGGTCCAGAGGCCAGTTTTACCAACAGAAAAATAGCCGCCTGCCGGAATTTTTTGCCTAAAGATCGTTTCACATATGGAGCGTAAACGGTAAAGCCCTATCCGCTTACGAGCCCATCGCGTTTACGCTCCATATGTGAAGCGGTCTTGATGCAAAAATTCCGGCAGGCGGTTATTTTTCTGTTGGTAAAACTGGTCTCAGGTCATGATATTTTACGGGCTGGTAAAAAAAAAAAATGATGGGCTCGAGGGTACAATTTGGTCGTGATCCAATGCCTTTTACGTGAGCTTTTAACGAAAAACCACCCGCCGCCCCTATACGTACAGCCCACCGCTAAAGTAATGTAGGGTTTTACCAATCTCAACGGTTGGCTTTGACTGGCGATTGTTTAATGCGGAGTGATCGAAAAGAAGATGTGTAGTCTGTGTCTTAGTCATTGCGTGGTTCGAGCGATGATGGTGCGCGTCGTATTGCGAGCCAGGGTCTTATGGCGACGGTGAGTCGGCGGAGGGAGAAATTGATCAGCCTTTGTCTAGGGTTCAGAATGACGTGATATGACGTGATATGACGTGTACAGAGGTATGATCTAGGCTAATGTGGTGAAGCCGGGCAGTGCGCTCCGGGACACGAGCGGGTACGGGTGTGAATAGAGGCATCTGAGTGTACTGGACTTTTTGCATTACTACAAGCTATTTCGGCAACCATGTCACAGGAAAGCGCTGTGGCAAGTTCGGCGCTGGACATGCGGCTAATCCCCGAGTTCGATGGCGGTAACGCCTCTGTGGAAGAGTGGCTGGATAAGACGGAGCTCGTCTGTCAGCTGCGCGGAGTGTCCGACATTCAAACCGTCGTCCCCCTGCGGTTGACCGGCGGAGCCTTCAGCGTCTACCAGCAGCTGAAGCCCGAGGAGAAGCTGCAGTACTCTGCCGTCAAAGCTGCCCTGCTGCGGGCGTTCGCTGTGGATAAGTTCCAGGCGTACGAGGAGTTCACGGCGAGAAGACTTCGTGTCGGCGAGAGCGTCGACGTCTACCTGGCAGACCTGCGGCGGCTGGCCTCCCTGTTCGGCGGGCTCGGCGACACGGCGCTGATGTGCGGCTTCGTGGCCGGTCTCCCGGATGCGGCGAGGCATACCTTGAGGGCCGGCTGCCGCATGGAGAGCCTGACGCTGGCCGAGCTGGTGGAGCGGGCTCGGGCGCTGATGGCAGAGAATGCCGTCGCTGCAGCCGCTGCCGCCGCTGCGCCGGCCCGTTCCCGCCACACGCCGGCGTCATCACGGTGTTACCGCTGCGGTCGAGCCGGTCACTTCGCTCGTGACTGCCGGGCGGAGAGGAGAGCGGACATCATCTGTTTCCGGTGCGAGCAGCCAGGACACGCCGCGGCACGCTGCCCGGAACGGATGCCGGGAAACGCGTCAGGAGAGGCGGTGTCTGCGCCAACCTCCTCTCGGGCAGCCCAAGAGTAAGAGGCGCGCTACCGACGGTGCAGCTGCTGGTGAATGGGCAGCGCAGAGTGGCTGTTATCGACTCGGGCTGCAGCTGCACCATCATCCACGAGTCGTGCTGCGCGAGCTGGAGACGGTGCGGCGTGACTGTAATGGCCGTCAACGGGTCCCGGCTGCCAAGCAGCGGAGTAACGGAGGTGGCGGTTCAGCTGAAGAGCGGCGGGCCCGCGGTGACGCTCAGCGCCGTGGTAGTGCCGGACAAACCACTGGGCGTGGATATGCTGGTGGGGATGACCGGCATCGCGGCGCTGGGCGGGGTGACAGTGCGGGCGGCGGACGATGTGGTGTTCGGTGCCAGCGAGAGGCCCGACGTGGCCGTGCCGGGCCCGGGAGGGGTGCCGCCGCGATGCAGCGCCGTGACGCCCCCGGCGTTGACCGTGGAAGAGCGAGACTTCACGGTCACTTATGACGCGAAAAGTCAACACTGGACGGTGGCGTGGAAGTGGCGGAACGGGGCGGAGCCAGGGTGCCTGAGGAACGGTGTCCCCCAGTACGGCGTGCCGGCCGAGGCACGGCAGGAGTTTGATGCTGAACTCCGTACATGGATCGACAACGGCTGGCTGGAGCCGTACGACGAGACGGTGGACGGGCCGCCGCGCGGGCTGATCCCTCTCATGGCTGTTGAACAGCAGAACAAGACTAAAGTACGACCAGTCTTAGACTGCCGCGAGCTCAACAGCCATGTGGAGGCACACACGGCCGACGCTGACGTATGTGCCGACACGCTGAGGAAATGGCGGCGGCACGGGGCCAACGTCGCCGTCGTCGACCTGAAGAGGGCGTACTTGCAGCTCAGGACCGATCGTCGGCTGTGGCCGTTTCAGACAGTCGTGATTGATGGCCAAAGGTACGCTCTTACCCGTGTCGGATTCGGGCTCAACGTCGCGCCTCTCATCATGAAGGCGGTGGTGCGGACGGTGCTGCAACAGGACCCAGTGATGCAGGGCGCCGTCATACCGTACGTCGACGATCTGTGCGTCAATGAGGACGTGGTGAGCGCGGAGCGCGTGATCGCCCACTTCGCGAGCTATGGGCTCCAGTGTAAGCCGCCGGAGCGGGCTGCGGACGGAGCGCGGCTGCTGGGACTGCGTGTGGAGCCAGTCGGGGGTGGGCTGGCCTGGAGGCGTGACAACCCAGTCGGCTCACCGCCCGCGGCAATGACGCGGCGCTCCGTGTTTTCATGGTGTGGTCGTATCGTGGCGCACCTGCCGGTCTGCGGTTGGCTGAGACCAGCGACAGCGTGGCTGAAGCGTCGTGTCAACTCTCTCACACGCGGGTGGGATGACGTCACACACGACGCGGCCCTGCGGGAACAGCTGAAGCACGTGGCTGAGCGACTGGCGAGCGAGGACCCGGCCCGTGGGCAGTGGTGCGTGACTGGGCACCGCGCCGTACTGTGGACGGACGCCAGCTCGATAGCCGCCGGCGTCGTGCTGGAGAGCGAGGGAGGTGACGTCATCGAGGACGCGTGCTGGCTCCGCCGGGACGAGGCCACCCACATCAACATGGCGGAGCTCGACGCCGCCGTGCGGGGCATCAACCTGGCCCTGGCGTGGGACATGAAGACCATCGAGCTGAAGACGGACTCCGCCACTGTTCACCGGTGGGTCAGCGACGCTCTGAGCGGGCGCGCGAGACTGCGAACCAAGGCACATGGAGAGATGCTTATCCGCCGGCGGGTCGACGTCATCAGGCAGCTGGTCGCAGAGCTGGGCATTTCTCTCACCGTGTCTCTAGTCCGCTCGTCTCAGAACCGTTCGGACACGCTGACCCGAGTGCCGTCCCTGTGGTTGCGTCAGGACTCGCAGCCAGCGGACCAGCGGCCGAGCGATGGACAGCCAGTGGCAGCAGCGGCAGTGGTTGGATCGGAAGTGGGAGACGGCGGCGGCGCCGTTACCGTGGACTTCCGACAGGCCGTCACTGACGTACATGTCAGGGCGGGTCACCCGGGTGTCCGACGAACGCTGTATTTCGCGCGTCGGGATGTGTCATCGTCGATTTCCCGGAAAGTGGTCAGGGAAGTGGTGACGGCCTGTGACGTCTGCCGCGCGGTTGACCCGGCGCCGGTGACCTGGAGGCACGGGTCGCTGGCTGTGGAGGGGACGTGGGACCGGCTGGCCATCGATGTCACGCACTACGGTGGTCAGTCCTACTTGTCGGTGATAGACTGTGGCCCGTCACGGTTTTGTGTGTGGAGGCTGCTGCGGCGGTCGGACGCGGCGACAGTCACGAGTGAACTCGAACAAGTGTTCGCGGAGCGAGGCGCACCGGCTGAGCTTCTGGCGGACAACGACACCGCTTTCCGCAGTCGTCAGTTCGCCGCTTTCGCTGCCCGCTGGGGAGTGCTGCTGCGTTTCCGCGCAGTGCATCGCCCCAGCGGGAACTCCATCGTGGAGCGGAACCACCGCAGTGTCAAAGTGATCGCGGCGCGGAAGAAGTGTGGCATCGGAGAGGCCGTGCACCTGTACAATATCACGCCCCGTGACGGCGGGACGGCGGCTGAGGCGCCCGCCAGCGGCATCTACCGCTACCCTGTGAGGGACGCCGTGAGACAAAGAGCTACCGCCGGAGCGTCCGAGGAGGCCGTGATAGGACGGCCGCCAGCCCGGCGGGAGGGCGACTTCCAGGTGGGGGACGCCGTGTGGGTGAGGCGGCCGGGCACCCGCTGCACCGAGCGGTCGGTTCGAGGAACGGTGTCTGGCGTGGTGTCGCCGCAGGTGGTTGAAGTGGGCGGCGTGCCTTGGCACATCAGAGACCTCCGCCACTGCGGTGACACCGGGGGACCAGCAGCAGGCCCTCGGACCCCCGACCGGGGCAGCGGGGGCCCACAGGAAGCGGAGGAGGACCGTGCCGGGTCCCCGATCGTCATGACATTCGGTTATGAGGGCGATGGCGCGCCGGGGCGCCCGGTGGAGGAGGCTGATGATGCGGGTGGTGAATGCGGCCGGTCTGAGAGCGACAGCGGCGAAAGGGTGGTGCGCCGAGGTCAGCGTAATCGGCGGCCGCCTGACTTCTTCGGCCACGTGGTGCCGATTGATGCGTTAAACAGCAGCAGCGGAAGTGATGATCTTGAGGATCAGGGTGAGGTGTAGTCTGTGTCTTAGTCATTGCGTGGTTCGAGCGATGATGGTGCGCGTCGTATTGCGAGCCAGGGTCTTATGGCGACGGTGAGTCGGCGGAGGGAGAAATTGATCAGCCTTTGTCTAGGGTTCAGAATGACGTGATATGACGTGATATGACGTGTACAGAGGTATGATCTAGGCTAATGTGGTGAAGCCGGGCAGTGCGCTCCGGGACACGAGCGGGTACGGGTGTGAATAGAGGCATCTGAGTGTACTGGACTTTTTGCATTACTACAAGATGTCAATAGCTAAAGTTGCAGCTGCAAGGGTGACGATACATATAAGCTACATTCAAAGTTTCATTGTAGTCTGGTTAATCGTTTCTAAGCTTCAGAAGCAGAACATACCCATGACTGAAACCCCACATTACTTCTGCTGTGGATTGTACAAGGGTTAAATGGGATATAGCATAGGCGGCGGAACGGGGAGGGCACCGGGGCATCGTGCACCCTTTGACTTTTGCATTTTAACATTAGCCCTATGGGCGTTGCATGGAAAGAATGGGACCAAAAGTCGGCAGTGCCCCCCCCCTCCCCCTTAATTGAAGGTGTTCCGCCGCTACTGGGATAGGTATAGGTATTAAATGTTTTGTGGAGGAAGTGTCATGTTTTAAATTTGATGCATTGGAAATGCACAAATACCCAAAGAGTTCCAGGACGGTATGGAATTTCAGTAAACTTGGTTGTGTCAGCAATGGGGTCTGGTAGGTGGGGGTAATGGCCCCGCCTGGCGCCCAAAAAGGGGGCACGACCCCGAATGACCTGCCGACCACTGGCTTAAAGGGACCCTCCCACCTTCAAAAAAGTTAATGAATTGGCACGAAAGGGATGTCGCTCGGCTCAGAAAGAGCGAAAACGAATATCTACCAAATTTCATCGAAAAATATTCACCGGTTTTCAAGATATTAGACTTTTACTTTTGTTTACTTTTTGGGATCTCCGCTGTTCCTAGCGACTTTATTTGAAAGTGCGGCATTTGTTGCGCGCAAAGCAGCATATACCACCGCGTGCTACCAAACGTTTTAGTAAAAGATTTAAAAATCGTTAGATCTCCGCTGACGTCACAAATTCTAAGGGGGCATACCAATGCACTAGCCCCTTAGAATCCGAAAACTGCAAGTTTGAAATTCCATATCTCCGAATTAAAGCATTTGTCGATGTTGTGAGTGCCCAAACCGGTATTTGCAGGCCATGGCCACCAATTTGGCTATCTCAACTCAAAACTAATGTTAAGGTGGGAGTGTCCCTTTAATTTTCAGATAAAAACACCCTTACCGCATTAATTCATAACTCTAAGATTCAACAGTGTGTCGTTCGTTATCCATGGCATTTGATGCATTGCAGACATTCACTTCGCATGCCATTAAAGCCTTTTGGTGACAATGGGTCGGTTTACGTCAGCCCCTGCCATAAATAGGTGTATCCAGGGCCCAATCTTACCAAATGCTGTGAATGCGCATTCACGGCATTTGGTAACATTCAGAACTATTCCCCCTTCACTTATTCATTCGTTCAGGCAACATTTACACGTATAATCATTCACGCTATCAAAATCATTGGACAAGATTAGCTGGGTGCAAATAAAAGGGATATCTTTGATATGAGAGCCGTTAACTCCAGCCAGTGCTGCCAAATCCTATTTACGGCATTGGTAAGATTGGGCCCAGGAGGCAGGAGACTGCTAATAATAATAGGTGTTAACAATTTTGTTTCACGAAGTTGCATATTTATATATAAATACATTTTTATTAAGCCATAGCATGTCTAGTGTTCGTCTTTTAACCCGCGCCCTGGTGGGGTCTGTTTATAACGCGACCTGGTGGGGGGGGGGGGCTATTTTTTGCCCCCCCCCCCCTCGTATCTCCGAAACTACTGGACGGATCCGCAAAATTCAAACGGCGTTCGATAGCCCTGTCAAATTTGTCGAGGGAAACCAAATTTTATTGACCTCGGGGTCACCGATGACGTCACAGGTCAGGTCAAAGATAAAATGTTTCATCGTTCACGGGGCTTCTAGGGAAAGCGCTATAACACCGAGTAAAACGCATTTTGTCGAAAATCAGCGATAAGACATCAGTTGTCTAGTACATATGTTGCTATTAGAGGTCACTGGTCATACCAGGTCAGGTCACAGGTCAGGTCACCAAAGGTCACCAAGGGTCACCCCATGAACCCAACTTTACTAAGGTTGTGCGATGCATGTTTTATGGCCAGTTTTTCATTTCCAACCCAATGGTGTTGGTTATCAGACCATCAGGTACGGTTTAGGTCACTTTCTGGTGGAGGTCAGGTCAAGGTCAGGTCAAAAAAGGTCAAATTTTAAAGTTGATATTTTTGCATAAAATTGGTATCGATTCGATGCAGCTCGTCACGGGGAGTCTAATGGTGGTCTTTGTTTTGCACTACGAGGTCTAGAATTGCTAAAAATTGAGTTTGAAAATTTGACGTCATCAATTTTGAACAGTTTTTTCGCTATAACTTCGCCAAAAAGAGAGGTATCAATCTAAAATTTGGTATGTAGATGGAAGGCGGTAAGGACTATCACATATATTCCGGTTTTTGCGAAATTCAAAAAACTTTTTAGATTTTTTGACTATTATATCCAAAAAATCTATTTTTTGATTTTTGGGGGTCAAAATCCAAAAATTTCAAAAATCCGAGATAGCAGTTTTGTAGCCCTGTCAATTCTACAGCTTTTATGTCTTTATCATTTTTCTGTATTTGCAAAGCTATAGGCCTGACAGCTCTTCCCGCGGAACCCTTTTTTGGGTCGAAAACGGCAGAACATGACGTCACTCTGACGTCATTTCCGGCCAACCTATCATAGCCTTTGGAAAAATTTTTGGTCACCATGTGTAAAATTGATGTCCGGGAGGGTACTGAAAGTTTGGTGACGATCGGCGCAGTGGTTCTGGAGATATATCGAAAAGTCTGGAGGGGGGGGCAAAAAATAGCCCCCCCCCCCACCAGGTCGCGGGTTAAGCTCATCTTCTGGCATCAATGATGCTTCGTGTAAAAGCTCTCTGACGATGCATTTCAACACCCGTTGCAGGTCCACGAGGGAATCAAAAGAACCCCTTTCGAAGCGACCTTTGGACAGAAACCTCATCTCGGACTTCGCGACTCCAAAATTCCCAGGAGCATCGCAAAAACCCTGAGAACTCAGCAGGAGCTCGAAGATCTCGCAGCAGCACCGTCTCGTCGCGACGACTCACCGCCAGTCAGTGGGGACTGCCCGTCGGTCAGCAGGCCGCTGACCTCGCCGACTGCAGCGAGGCAGCCACCACCGGGAACAGGGTCGCCGTCATCGTCTCCGTCATCGTCTCCGCCACCGCCACCGGACAGTGAGTCGCCTCCACCGCCACCGGACAGGGGATCGCTGTTCCAGCCGCCGGACAGGGAGTCGCTCCCACCGTCAACGGGAAGGGGATCGCCGTCACCGTCGCAGTCACCGAACAGGAGGTCGCCGTCATCTCAGCCCACGCATCATCCAACGTCTGGATCGGCTGAGCCGCAGCCAGGACCTAGCGGCCTGCAATGTGTCTCCTGTGGGCTGCGGGTACAGCAGGGGGACAGCTCCTGCAGGCTCTGTCAAAAAGCAAAGTCAGCGAAACGTCACCGCAGAGAGGCATCAGCAGCGCAACAGCAGCAGGCGGCCAAGATGCTGCGTAGATCGCGGCAGTCTCGCCTCCTTGTCGGCCAAACCGTGAGGCTCGGCATACCCGACGTAGACCGTGCCAGGAACCAGCCACCAAACATTTTGGTAATTATAACTGAGGTAAGGCACTATTGTTTTGGACAAAGCAGGGTAATATGCACAAGTCGTTTTATGCGCATGGATGTGATTGTTTTGATTAAATCTTTCAAAAAAAATGGGTCGTTTGTATTGACGTTAATTACCATTTTGGTAGGCACTTAGCCGTTCAATCTGGATGTCAATTTTGTTTCAAGTCATTGCTGGTCGATATCGCTAGTAGACACCCTCACCTGCATTTATCGAACCCATTTGTGCAAGGGGAGGTAAGGGAGGGGAGCATAGTATTGCATTGGTTTCTCTCTGGGCTGCTCTGGGCATAGTATGTTTCCACATGTTCGGCTCGTAGGTACTCATCATCATCATTTCATCATTTATTCTTATGTCCATCCATGGTAAATGGCTTTTCGGGACAAGTGTCAAAGTACATACAAAGATAAAATACACATACGAAAGCTAATAGTAACACTAAAATGCACAACACCCATACGGAAGCCCAAAGTATATGTTTGAAGACACATTAGTGACACATTCATATCAGTCGCGTTCCCTCAGCCAGTCTCTCGCTCTTTTGCGACACAGCGCTGCTGAGCGAGCCCCTGTCACACCGGCAGGGGCGCGATTCCATTGGGCGGGCGCGCGGGAAAAGAAAAACTTCCGCGCATGTTCACTGTTTACCCTGGGAATCTGCAGGGCACCAGCCACAGCGGCTCTGGTGTCCCTGGTGGAGACATCGGATCGGTGCACAATGCCCTGGGTTACGTTGGACGGCGCTTGGGGGTGATAAAGCAAATAATGCACCTGTGCAACATCACGCTCAGTGATCATTGAGTCAATGGATGGCCAGTTCAGGTCTACCATCAGTGGTGATACATGGGCAGACCGTCTGGTGCCCTTCACCACCTGCGCACAGTGGTTGATAACCTTTTGTAAACGGTGGCGCTGGATCTTGGTACACCCGGCCCACACCGTGGAACAATACGAAATGTGTGGAAAGATCAGCGTTTCTACTATCATTTTTTTCACCATCTCGGGCAATTTGCCGGTCATTTTTGATTTTGATTTTGATTTGGCAATTTGCCGGTCACCACTTGTCTTTTAATCGTTTGACGACCCTTTTAGTCTCTCACACCATATCTGAATGATGTGGCGCTATTATGACTATTAGACCGCTATTATGTTTCAGGTTCGCGAAGACGGATACACCTTGGGTACAGAGCAGTGTTCGCCACGGGCCGGGCCAGCCCAACGGGCCATGGGCCGGGCTGGGCTACGGGCTGGGCCGGGCCCCCAAATATCATTAGTTAACGGGCTATGGACGGGCCGGGCCAAGAGCTTTGTGCACTATGGGTTTTGCGACTAATGTCAATTTAAGAAAATTTGGAAACTGATGCAAACAAAACCCACTGGGAAAATACAAAAACTAAACCAAATTTAAGGAATGTGAAAGAAAACCTACTTGATATTGAATTTTGGGAATCTTGAGAATTATCCAATATCACATCATGTCACACATAGGAGGGTTTTCATAAAAATTCCGCAACCAAAAAGATCAGAGAATCTCTAGCATCATTACTTTGTAATAAAAGTTAAAATGTAGTCATCAGAATAACTTACTTAGCACTACAACTCCAAAAACTAAGAAGCCACTCAACAATGATGGGCCACAGGGCTACATTAAGTTTAACACTTATATATGGCGATAGTGAGACAATTCCAACACAGTCTTTTTTCCTTCACCGACGGCTTTTTAACGAACAGAACCTTAAAAGGATACTCACAAAACACACTGTAAGTAACGAGGAACTCTACAGAGTATTTCGCGATGAAAGCTTCTTTAAATGTCCATAAATTTGTCAAAATAAGTCACAACAAACCAGCCCCTTCTCAACAAAATTTGCAATCATGGCGGCGGCCATGCGGCGGCCCTATGTTTATGTGGCGGCACCTAGGTAATATACACAACAGTATATCAAATAAATACGTTTTTAAAGTAAGTATCAAGGTGAAAAACAAAATTAAACAAATAAAAAATAAAACCGAAATCACGAAGTCTGAAAACTCGAACGAAAAACAAAACAAAAACTTGATCATATATGTTTTATTATACAATTGGTCAAAATCGCTACCTGCCGCAGCTGCGACAATAAAGAAGTGTTCGCTCATTTTTGATTGATGATGATGATGCGTAAAAGTCGCAAAAGTACCCAATGACATTTCAAGTTTACCATGTTTTCTGCTTACGCTGCTAGCGATATCAATATCTTGAAAAGAGCCTAACATAAAATAGCAAGGAAAGTAGCAGATAGTTGTCCACAGAGATTTGGTTGACACGTGGGCATGAATTGAAAATAGATAAGATCAGTTTTGCTGATAAATGGATGGATTTTCTCTTTTTTTGGAAGACAGTGCTAAGGTTAGTGTCACCTATTGTGTATGCTTTCTCAGGCTTTTGATATTGCAGCATCTATGGAGTGAATTTAACAGCAAGGTCAATCCCAGACAGATTCATCAATTCCCATAAGTCAAGCTTTTTTTCTGCTGGTAAGTGCTGGGAAGTATAGAGTATGTGGCAAATACTTCCTTCAAGTATGCATTAGAGTCACCAATTATGAATGATAATGTTCACACACATCAGCTTGCAAGATAACTTTACTCATAGAATGTAGTTAATATAATCATGTTAACTTTTTATAGGTGTGTAATCAAGACCTAATTGACTGAGGTGCTTGCTGTTACTGTTAAAATTTGTGCCATAGGTGCTTGAAATGATTATATTCATTGAAAAGAAGGGAGTCATGATTGCCATGTTAATATTCATGCAATTTGAATTGTTCTCAAAATAATGTAATCAATCATGCTTATTATAGCAATAGACTAAGACAATAACTAGATTGCTATTTTTGCCGGGCCGGGCCGGGCTGGGCTTGGAATATTTGCCAAGAGCGGGCTACGGGCTGGGCCGGGCTCTGAACCCATGGGCCCGGGCCGGGCTGGGCTGGGGATTTTGGGGCCCGTGGCGAACACTGGTACAGAGTACGGTCGCCTTTCCGGAGTTTACAGTCGTGCGTCACTCACTCCATCAGACGTCGACTTTCTCACGCCAGAGTTCATCCTGGATGGCGAACCAGTGACATTGAGGGAGGCAGCGCGGCGTGCGTCGGGGGGGGGGGGGGGGGGGGGCACCGGTCAAGGAATACTGAAGTGCACCTGCAAACGTGTGTGTCGTGGGCGCTGCAAATGTGTCAGCAGCGGACGAATGTGCTCCTCGCGTTGTCACAAGAGCAGAACGTGCAATAATAAGTAAACTACTAAGTTACTAAGTTAAGTTACTAATAAGTTACTAATAAGTAAGTTACTAATAATAAGTAAACATTTACTAGCCAACAGTCAAAAAGTATAAAAGACATTAAGACCACTGCAGGCCTACGCAGCATTTGCTAAGACATGGAATAGAGACTAGTTGGCTAGTTTTGATATGGCCCGAGTTTTCATATGGCCGTGAGGAAAAAAGTGGGCTGTATTAATAATGCCCGGCCCGTATTAATGCTGACCGCCAGGCGGCCCGCATTAATGCTGACCGGGGGCCGTATTTACCCGCGCGGGGCTGGGGGAGGGGTAAATTTTACCCCCCCTCGCGAATTTTTGCAATATCTCAAAAACTGCGGCGCGCAGCGCCGCCAAACTTTCAGTACCTTTTCTTACATCAATTTGACACGTTCCCTGAAAATTTGAGCGAAATCCGTCGGAAATTTTTTGAGAAATTAACGTTTTAGTGACGTCATGTTCGCCATTTTCGCCTCAAAAACGGCAAAAGTTCAAACGCCGCTAACATCTTCATTTTTAAAGGAATCAAGACGTAACAAAAAAGGATATACGTAATTCTACTTTGTCTATCAAATGGCTATCTCGGTTTTTTGAAAATTTTGGATTTTGATCAAAAAATTTCCAAAAAAACTGACTTTTTTGGGAAAATGATTATAAAATCCAAAATTTTGAGTGTATCGAAAAAACCGGAATATATGTCAGAGAAGTGGTCTATGTGCACCTACATACCAATTTTAAGAAGAATCGGTTCAAAAATGTGGGAGTTATTCAAAATTTTATGACGTCACGACACACAAATTTTTTGAAAAATGATTTTTTTTGGAAGTTCTAGACCTCGTACGGAAACAAAAATAGCACCATTCGATTCGCCGTGAAAAACTGTATCAGATAGACACCTTTTTAGGCCTTAACAACCAACTTCAAAATTTGACCTCACTTGACCTGACCTCGACCTGAAATTCATCCAGAGGTGGTCCATATCACTTATTGAGTGTGCCTATTGAATTCTATGAGTAAAATGACCCATAAAACATGTGTCGCACATGCCCTTTTCTATATTTTGGTTTTGGTGACCTGACCTGACCTGACCTGACCTTGACCTTGACCTCTGAATGATATTGTATGCAACGAATATTGTCTTGGTAGCCTAAGAACACGCTTTGGGCGATCAGTCTCAGTCCATGACTCCATTCTTCGGCAACTACGGTGCAAGGCCGATATTGTAGGAACTTGCAATTTGTACCCTTGACCTGACCTTGACCTTGACCTCAAACTTAAAATTAAGTACATGTTTTTAGTTGTTCGTGATGAGATCTTTCGATTGGCGTTTGAATTTTCCAAATCGGACCATTAGTTCGGGAGATAACAGGGGGGTAAAATTTACCCCCCCCCCCCAGCCCCGCGCGTTCGGCTGGAGACCCCAGCCCCGCGCGGGTTAATACGGGCCAGGTCTCCGGTCAGTATTAAAGCGGGCCGGGCAGCATTAATACGGGCCGGGCAGCATTAATACGGGCCGGGCAGCATTAATACGGGCCGGGCAGCATTAATACGGGCCGCGTTTTCAAACGGGCCGTGTTCGGGATCGCCAACGAAGACCGTCTGACGAAATCCAAACCCGATCAGCCACCAGAGCGCTTCCTCCTGTATGATAGTGCAGAGGATGACGGCTACCAAGGCATGTTGATGTTGATATTCAGCAGTGACTGGGGTCTAATGCAGCTCGCCAACGGCGAGCATTCAAAATTTAGATTTGGGTTTAAGACGTACCGATGTGGTCCATATGGTCCATTTTTACTATGTGGCGGCTCATTTTCCCCGCAAATGAAAAATCTTAGGTCGATAGAAGATATAAGTTCTCATAGGTGGCAGACTGGTAAACTTTGGAGGGCCGCCCGCCTTGTTGAAATTCGGCAATTTTGGGATGCAGAATTAGGGATTGAGGCCTCAGTCACCTCCTATACAGACCGCTCAGAAATGTAATGAAAAAGCACATTCATGGCAACGAAGTTAAGAGTGACCATCCCACCTTAACATTAGTTTTGAGTTGAGGTAGCCAAAATGGGGTCCCTGGCTTGCACTTACCGGTTTGAGCACTCACAAGATCGAGAAATGCCTCAAATCAAAAATATTTAATTTCGAAGTTGTAGCACTTGGATTCAGAGGGGCTAATGCATTAGAATGCCCCCTCTGAATGTGTGACGTCAGCTCAGATCTATCTATTTTAATTTTTTGACTAAGACGTTTGGTAGCACGCTCATCATGATTTGCATGTTAAATAGTAGTGGTGTCAATTTCAGAAAACGTATGTTTAATGTCCGTCCAATGTCCAATACTTACGTCGACTGTCCGTCCAAAAATGTCCAGGCCAGCCATTTGTCCAAAGATGTCCGACATCTACGCAATAGTTTACACTCAACACCGTTATTTAATTCGCTTTTAAAGAGACTATCCCACCTTTAACATGGGGTTTGAGTTGAGATAGCCAAGTTTGCGGCGAGGTTCAGAAACCACTATCTATCTAGGTTGCAACCCCCGCGGCCTCTTGGTGTTGAAGAAATTCGTTCCCTTCATTTGAAAATGGGCCTTGCACAAGGCCCTATCTTCAACATGGAGCGACCGTTAGTGTGACGTCACCTCGTTTAGTCATTCTGATTTAAATGGGTTTGTTCGTTGAAAAATCGCTTAAAACTTGGTCTGAACTTTGTTGTGGTGCCTACAGAGTAAAAAGAATCAGCTTTATGACAGTAATGTGGCCTGGGGAAGGAGGTAATTTTGGGCTGTGACGTCACATATTTGAATGTTTGTGTTTGGAATATAGGAAGCCTAAGATGTTTAACGAAAAATAAATGCCAGAACCGTGTTCCTGGCCATCCAATCTATAAAGTCGGGCACAATTTAACTGGTTTTAATAACATTTTAGAAGGTGGGATACTGGATAGTCCCTTTAACGTATCGTTACCAGCTCAAAAGTGTTAATCATATGGAAAACTGAGCTTTCTAATGGCCAATCAATGTTAAACACGATTACTTTACAAAATGCTGAGGTGTAGCAAGCGAATGTCCAAAGTTGTCCAAAGCCTGTTGTCATTGTCCAACCGAATTCCGAATTGGACATTGGACAAAATCGGAATTCCGAAGATTCAAGTTCCGATTGACACCACTATTAAATAGCCGATTATTGCAAAACCTTGTCTCTCTTGTGGATATAACATTCTTCCTTACCGTTAAGTGCAAAATGCACGACAGGCGCCGACAGGAGCTTCAATTTTATGCTGCCACATATAGGGAGGGCTCAGGAGACATGACGTCATGGGGTGTCAAGGTTTTGTCGATTATTAAGACATTGCTGTGCAGCAAATAATCTTTTTTAGGCTCGGCTCTAAGGGAGCCCAAAGGTTATTATCAAACAGCCTTAGAGGCTAAAATCCTCAAAGATAAACATTGGCGCCGGCCGAAGACAGACTGTCAGACACCCTCGGACTGTCTGACATCTTTTCAAAGTTACCGATATAAATACACGGCTCATCATTCTGCCAACTATATACGGCGTTGGGCACCGAAATACAGTTGGTGGTCCGTCTGGGGCCCCCACTGGGCCGTCTGACCCGCCTTCCCAGTACGCAGTACGCACGCCATCCGGGTCAGATCGGTCCGTCGCCCGGCCGCCCGTCCCCCGTCCTAAACCAATAGAGCCGGGCGGAAACGGACCCATTTCAATTAGTAGTTTAAGGCCGTCTCGCGCGGCGGCGAAACACGAGACGACGCGGCTCGGTGACTGCCGCCCGGCCGCGGCCGGCGGCGCAGTGAATTGGACACGTCGGGGGAGATGGGGTACCATCAGTGACAGCGGGGAGGGGGGGGGGGTGTCGGCCGCCGGACGGTGAGAGGAGACGGAGCCCGCCTCGGTGGGGCGGGGTGGGGAGGGCAGGGGGGAGAGAGAGAGAGAGAGAGAGAGAGAGAGAGAGAGAGAGAGAGAGAGAGAGAGAGAGAGAGAGAGAGAGAGAGAGAGAGAGAGAGAGAGAGAGAGAGAGAGAGAGAGAGATCATGTTTTTCACACTAGAACATAAAATTCATGAATAACAAGCAATTGGCGCAAAAGTGTTATGCACTTAAATCTATGGCGCCGCTTGCAGGGAGGGATCCGCCGCAAACGCTGGGTAGGGGGGGGAGGGGTAGGTCAGCCGCAGCCGCGGTGGGGTCAGGGCAGGCGGTCAGGCGGGCACCGTGAGCAATCAGCGTCATTAACGGGCATGTGGCGTCAGCTATGTGTTTTCTCCTTCTGAACAGTCGCGTACGGCACATTCATTCACTTTGTTATAATTTGAGTCTTGAGAAAATAGCAATCATCCTCGTAGTAAAACATAAGCGCATTTGTGACAGTCGATAGAATTTAAGTTAGCAATAAGTCGCTTTCCTTTTGATTTATTTTGGTATAGCTTTTTATTTTCCATCCGTGAAACTGACGCATAAAGAATGCGTTCAGAAGTGTGAGCGGCAGCTCTGCAAGCACTTGTTGACGAATGAAAAGCGTAGATACTGCCCTGTCGCCATAGCAACAAGTAAGCGTCACAAATTTCGAACAATATCTGAGTGCGCCAAGTTCGACTGCATCCAGGACGATGGGTGATGGTTGCCAGCTGGCTAAATTAATGAAACGCGAATAAATTAAACTTTTGTTTGAGATTGTGAGAAAAAATGCATTTGTCAATTTCAAATATCATTTAATTATTTTTGTAAACAAATTTACTACAAATGCCTCTGTTCAAAGTGTTTCAAGAATAAATCAAGGCTTATGAAAATCGTGAGTAGGGTTGGGAAAAGGATCACGAGACTGATGTCCCAATCTTATCTGTAAGAATCTTGGCTAATGACAACAACATAATCACTACGTTTCTATGACGTCTATGTAAATCGATATAGCGAAATTTCACGTGCGTTTTTCTCGGATATTATTCACAATATGCAAAAAATGAGCATATATATGGGTTAAGCCTGTACCTAGTTCAACATTTACATTTTCTAATTATGTCTAATTGATGAGATGGAGCAAATTCATTTTTTCAACACCGGCTGAACTTATGCCATGGAAACGTAGCCAACGTTTTTAACCTTCCAGGCGGTGGGGGGGGCATTTTTTTGCCCCCCCCCCTTTAGTTTTTTCCATATATCTCGAGAACCGCTGCGCTGATCGTCACAAAACTTTCAGTACCCTCCCGGGAGCAGCTAGCGCACATGGTGACCAAAAAT